ATTTTGCATGCTAAAGTTGTTGATGTTTCTGCTCTAGCAAATGCATCTTTTTCTAATATAAGGTACTTTTTGAACAGATTTCCTGTGTTACTTCGTTTAGTCATGAAAGATGATGATATTGATGTTGCCACTGATATTATTGCAATCGTAATTTTGCAGTTTACAATTAGAAAACTTGGATGTAGTTATAAAGATCAGCTAGGATTGACACCCAGTGGAGTTTAATTGGAAAACTGAAAGGTGCTGATGGAATTTTAAAATAACTGTCTAGATGTTGGCCATCTTGACAGTTCCCCATAGTAATGCAGAGTGTGAGAGGATTTTCAGTGTTGTTGCGAAAACGAGGACTAAATTTAGATCTAATATTAGTGATGACACATTAGGAAAACTTTTATTAGCGAAAGCAGGCCTACATGGCAATTGCTATGAACCAAATTATGAAGTTTCTTTCTTAACAAAAGCAAAATCTGCCACTTCATAACATTTGTACGAAAACTGATTAAAGTGTCTTTTTTTTTTTCTTATACGATGCAAGTAATAAAACTGTTTTTTTATCTGTAAGGTATTTTTTGTGTTGCTTCATTTAAGAATTAGTAACTATTTAAAGTTAATTCATTATTAAAAACTATATTTTTATTATTTAAAGTCTTTTTAACATGGTGAAAAATCTCCTGATTTCTTAAAAAAATCTCCTGATTCTTTAGTGCAGCAGGTTGGCAAGTATGCCATAGGCTGAATTATGAATGTACGGCTTGGAGGAAAGAATAACATGGATACATTATCTTTCACTATAATGATGAACCGAACAGTTATCTACAATCAGGACAATTTTTGAGCCATCAAGCAAACCCAACCAAATTAAAATTTTGCCGAGCATCGGGTATGAATTGATTTTCAAACCAATCATACATTAACACTTGTGTCATCCATGCTCTCTTATTTTCATGTTATATTACAGTGAAAATCTTTACTCCTTTAAATACTTAAGGTCATGTATTTTTCCCGATTACGAAAAGTGTATATTTGTGTGTTCCTGCAGCATTTGCACATGCTAAAATTGTTAGTCTAGCTTTGGAATCTTTGACACCAGTTGGAGATTTTTCTGTAGAGATTGTCAAGGTATTTTGCACTACATATTGCCAGAAAAGGCCAGTTTCATCAGCATTGTAAATTTGTCCTGGAGATAACGTTTCACTATTAATTAGTTCAATGAATTCATCTGCAAATAGTTCAGCAGCTTCAATATCAGCTGAGGCTTCTTCACTTGAAATTTTTAATTTCATTATACCGGGTGATTTTAAAATTTGCTTGACCAGTGTGTCGAATGTGTGCACTCAGTTTTTAAATTTATTTCTTCATGAAATGTTTTGTCTTGAGCCATTAACATTTGACTCATGAATGGCACGCCCCCCGCTGTGATGCTTTGGGACCCATTCAATCATCATTTTAAGCATAACAAGTAATTTTAATCATACCTTAATTTTGTTACTCGGTGCTTCTCTAAATTCCGAAAATTTTTTCTTCCCTAAATTCTGCCGTTGATATTCATTTACCATTATAAAAAATTGTTTAGCCATCACTGGATTACTCAAGTTGTCATGCATTGATAAATATGCGGTGATGAAAGCAAAATATAATAAATAATGATTCGCTAGGTTGGTGTCAACGATATAAAATACCAGTAGTCATAAAATCAGTACTTTTATGTAGAATGTTTCAGTTTGAGATGTATGCTAAGCAGATACGCAGTTACGGAGCCAAACTATTCATCACACGAATTTATGCTAAAATGGTTGTTTCTTCAATAATAAAGTATTATATTTAGTGCCAAAGTGAAATTAAAAATGGGGATTCTCCACATATGTTATTATGGGGGAAAAATCAAATGTGCATGCATAAAGCATGAAAAATATTTTGTTGGTGGCTTTAAGGTCCTGTATTGGACGTCTGGATCTCGGACTTTGTACTGTATATAATAAAAAGGTAAATGAATGCATTCAAGCAGAGATGAGAATATTGTAGCTGTCAACTCTCCCAGTTTTTCATCATATTGTGGTGTAGTGGTTGAAACTGTTACATAAACCTTGGGTTGTGATACAGGGTTGAAATGAACTTCAAATTCAAGTTCTAACAATAGCATAAATTTTAATAAGGTAAAAATATTAATAGTTGTGATTCTTGACAGTATGGAACTTGGATATATTTAGTCCCATAATTTCGTTAACAGGAAAAATGCTTCATCGCATTATACACAAAGAATGAAAGTTCTAGTGGGCCAACATGCCCATAGCTCTAGCAGGCAAGAAGTCCCATCTCTTCTCAGGAAACCACTTTTTATATCTCACTGAGAGGGGGGAAATTCCTTCACTCGTACAACAAAGGATTCATCTCCTGACCCTGATGAAAAGACTTTCTTTAATGCTTTGTCTATTGAAGTGACCTTCGAGGCTGCAACCCGAATCATTATCAAAGGCACCTCGTTGCACAGGATTTCAGTTTCAACGGATGTTTTCGCTGGAGCGCTGACGATGTGTTCAGTAAAGTGAATCGATTCTGGAGTGGATCATCCATCTCTATTCCTTATATGTTGATGGAAACGGAAATTTAATACTATTATGAGGCCTCTAAGCTCCACTTCTAACAGCAAGATTGTGAAGTATGTAAATTATTATGAAAAATTATTAACTTAAATAAAAGATGGGCATGTTTACCTAATCCAGGAAGGGGTGTCATTGCAGCTTTCTGTCTGAATAAGGCATGTACGAATTCCGGTTAAAATCATGTTTATTGTTTCCTGTTATGACTCATGCTAATGCCCATTGTTATATGGTTGATGTTTACTATGTTTACTTAATGAGGTTAGAAAGTACTGTGCTGTCCTTAATACTTTCCAGATTAATCCTTAAATTCAGAGAAATTCCTTAAATTCAGATAATTCCTTAAATTCAGAGAAATCCAAGCTATAGCAGTTGTTCCCATGTAGTTTCTGAGTTCATGCATAATTATTTATCTCATTATGAAGGTATAACACCAGCAACAACAAACCAAAAAAAGGTCGTGCTCAATTACTGCAGATAGTATTTAGTTTCTATAAAAGTGAATCTGTATTAATCCTTCACTGTACAATTGTGAATACCATGAAATATCCAGGTCTCGTATATGGAACACACGCTACTTATAATTTATTATCATGCAGTGTCTAGCATTTAACTAAGAAACCTCATTCAGATTTATAGATATTTATGTAAAATAGCCACTTGTGTGGTCAGCTGTCTAAAATAGTTGTTATAAAAAAGGGGAAAATATATTATCTTAACCCTCTGAGCGTTCCAGGATTTTGGATCCGTCATGAAGACCGGTATTTAAACAGCATTTATTGAGTTTGCATAATTACTTATTTTAGTCTGTATTTTCACAAACTTACATTCATTAAGATGATATTTGCATTATTAAAGAAAGTAAGAAAGCGAAATATCTTAAATTATAAGCTAATATATACCAAGTAGCAAAACTTCTGATGACCGGATAAAGCTGGTCATAACGCTCAGAGGGTTAATTAATCTAGCTAATGTAATATTTCATGGGTATACCTACTAATTAATAATAATTGAAATAAATCTGTATCTGTTGCTTTTAAATTGCTTAGTTTAGTTAGAAACAGAACAAACTTGAGAAAAATTAAACTTATGCTTTGTTGAATGACAATAAATGTGGAAGATAAAAATATTTTAATACAGGACAGGACAACATATTTCTTTTAAATTGCTGAATTTGTTGATTAAATTTGAGAAACAAATATATTATGTTCTGTCATGTGGCAAAACACTTATTTTAATGAATCATTAAATTATTATCTAACAATTTTAATCAGTATTGCTGAGGTTTCTAATTAAAGAAACATATCTCATCTTTTACCAAGTAGCAGCATAAAGCTTATATAGTTGAGTTTTAATCAAAAGTTCATTAAATTTGCATAAAATATAAATAAAAAACAAATTTGAAATTCAGGTTTTGAGGTGGATACAAGTTGAAGATTGTGTTTTCAAAATTTGGTGGCTCTAGATGCTGTTGTTTTTCCACAGTGCGATTAAATTCAAAAACAAATGTACTGCATTGAATGCTATGCACTTCTTTTGTTGCTGAGTTTTTTTAGTTAAATCTGAAGCATCTTATGCTTTGCAGAGTGGCAACATGCAGCTTTTAAATCACTGCATTTTTAATCAAAAGCTTGTTAAATATCCACATAATACGAAATAAATAAAAAATTCAAATTTCAGGCTTTGAGGTGCACATGATCAGGTGGAAAACTATTTGTGTTGTAAGTCTGATGACTTTACATGCCACTATTTTTTGGTAATGCGAGGATCAAACATGCATATGGATGAACACATATATATTCTTCATATAATGTAAAAAATAAGAGTTGTATCCATCCAAATTCTAATTTAATGCCAGTTTTTCCATCACAGAAATTAGTAAACCTGAAATGAATGCTAGTTCTTTGTTGGGCTTAGCTTTTTTAGGCCCATATCACACGATGTTTGTGTTTCACTCGAACAACTGTTTCAGACAATTTTTTTCACTAGTTTACTATTGAAAGAAAGGCGTGCGACTTCTTCCTTCCTTTCCAAAAAAATTGCAAGCTGTTCATTTTCAACCAATCAGCTATCAGCTTTGAATACTATCAGCTTGTATGTAATGGGTAACCAGTTTTCCCTATGTTAACCCCAAAGGGATCTATGGTGATTGGCTGTTCTGACAAAGCAGAAAAATTGTTCCAAACAGTTGTTCTTCTGAAACAAACCGTCGTGTGATAGCAGCCTTAGACTAATTAGTGTACTGATTTTGCAAGTAACATTTATCAGCACTTCAAATGTTTTGTGGTATGACATATATTTTAAAAATCAATAGCTTCTATAATGAATTTATGCATGCATCTGTGTTCATAAATATACTTATTTTCTCTATGTAATTGTTTGAAATTTACATTTTTCGTCCAGATAGATTTTGTTGCTCATGATGATCTTCCATATGCTATGGGATCTGAAGATGATGTGTACAAAGGTATTAAAGAAAGAGGGATGTTTGTTGCAACAGAGCGGACAGAAGGAGTTTCAACATCAGATTTAGTGGCTCGAATTGTTCGAGATTATGATATGTATGTCCGCCGAAATTTAGATCGAGGGTACAGTGCAAAAGAAATGAATGTTTCATTTCTTAATGTGAGTAAAGTTTATTCTTAATGTTAAATATCTATTCAGATTTAAAATGTTTCTCAAATTCATACTTCTTAAATTTAGTTACAAGGAAGATGTTTAAAATTTAGTTTTAGAAAGGTGTTGGAAATTCAGGTGATTTAATGTGAATTGATGCTGATCTAGAGGAAGTGAAACTTAATTTTTGCATAAAATTGCACAAGTAATCATAACCATAACCATCAGTTACTTTCAACAATAGTTAATAGTTTTGAAATTGCAGACATTTTAAATGGAGTATGTTTCAGACGCATTTAAATGAGAACGCACTAAATTTATCTAGTTGGGGGAGAGAACTTGTTGAAATTCTGAAACATTTATTAAGAGGAATGAATGTTTTCATATTGAATAATCTGGTCATGTTATGTCAGATCCATGTTGCCATTTAATTGTAAAGAAATAAATTAAAGCATTGCAATTCTCTGCCCCCCATAAAAAACCCCTTCAAAATATGTTTATAGTCACTGTTGTCCCAAATAAATATGGGAATATATTTATGGGAGAAATTAGAATGCAGTTAGAATTAATAAATTTTATTTCATATACTTCAGAAGAAAGAATTTTAATACACTAATACTGTAAATTTTACATTCTGTTTTATGTTACATTATATCGTTTGAAGATTATTTTGTATGAATTGGATTGATGTCGTGCAGTTTTTAATTTGTTGTAGTTGTTTAATTTTGTTAAATGCATTTCAGTTTGCTACCATAGTGTTATAATGATGTACTGAAAATATTTTGGAATTAAATGGCATGCACATTTTTAAAATGAGAAATGAAATAAATTAAGAATATTATACATGTTTAATTACATACATTGGCAGTAGCAACTTTTGCAGATAGCGCATCTACTTCTTTAACAGAAATACAAATTCAAAATATGGTTGAAAAAAGGCCATGTGCAAATGCTTCCACTGCCAGTGCGTTTTCCATAGTTAAGCATGCTGAAATATGTTTGGAAATTAGCTGTCATAAATGCATTTGTATATAGGATGTTTTTAATTATACTTTTTCATGAAATCAACATTTTTATGAGTTGCTGTAGTATCAAAATCTCAACTTGTATACATGTCTAAATACATGCTGTATTACGGCAAAACTGCAAATGATTCATTAAATCAGTTATGGTTCCTTGGATTGTATTTTACTACTTAGATAACTGTGGCAATTCTAGATCTAATATATGCAACAGTGCTCCGACCCTCTGGAGACTAGCATTTTTATTGAACCAAAACCAATCGGACCTCGTGTCCGTATTATGTGATGACTCTGTATAACTTTGGGCTGATCGCATAGGTTTGTCCCAGCAACATATCTTTCAAGTGCTTTATCAGCTGTTGATGGTAGGTTACACACCTACCATGGTTGTAATGAGTGACGGGGAATCAGGGTTCGATTCCGGAGAGAGAACCTGAGGAATGGTTACTACATCCAAAGTGCGAAAATTACTTACTATAGGGAGATAGTGATGAAAAATACTTATATGAGACTCTTTGGAGAGAGTAGGGTATATTAAAGTTGTTGCAGTTGAACAGCCCACTGGTTTCTTTTGATGGTCTTCACCTGTTGTCTTGGGTGACCATCGAGTTTACTTTGAAAAAATTGTTCTTCAAAGCAGGTGTGATGCCTGAATAATGGTGCTTGGAATAATGTAAGAGGAACTCGTTTCTATTTTGTTGGTTTTCGGAATATGATGTAATGATTAAAAGGAACAGATGGGGGCATTTGTATTGCAATGCTACAGGTGAAATTCTTGGACTGTGGCAAGACAAACTACTGTGAAAGCATTTTTCAAGAATGTTTTCATTAATCAGAACGAAAGTTAAGAGGTTCAAAGGCGAAGTCCTTTCTGGCTGCCTTCATTTGTGGTGAGATGGGTTCATTTTTTTTTACCATAGGACCACTTTGTGATGAGGAGAGTCGGAGTGTTCCCCCTAAATCTACCAGCCTACTCCTGGGGTTATGCTCATGTCAGCATCCATCTTGCATGATGTATTGTGCTCTCATGAATATTAGTGTACTTAAGTAGTTTTTAAGCCATGCTTTTATATTTTTTTGTGCTTAATGAATATGTTTCAAGCTCTGGTGTCAATATATTTGATTACTTTTTATTTTCATGGCCCGTTTTATTGAATTTTGAACTTTGTTAATTTCGATACCATAGTTAAATGCAATGGATGCTATTTGTTTATGTTTGAATGTGTAATTCATTGAATTAATTCATTGGTGCACAACTAATTCTGGTGCACTAAATTTGCTTTCTGCCCATTGGGCAAATTGATGAATTTTCACCTGAGAACTCTGGTTTTAATTTAAAAAAATATTTTAATTTATTTTAAATACGATTTTATCATCCCATATTTTGAGTATTTTAATTATGTAAGTTCTGCATTCAGATTGTTTTAAGGGAACTATTATATTAATTTTTGCATAATTATCTGCCACGTCGCTGTGTCTTCTAAGCATATGTGATATTGATATAATGAGTTCCTCAGGAAACAATGATAGAATTTTTTAGGAGGATATGAATTCTGTTGAAGAGAGCCAATATAATATCGAAAATTACTGTTAAACAAGATACTTTCAGGGAGAACTGAGAGTAATAGAAAGTTCAACTATTGAAAAGTTCTAAAAGATTATCAAAAGAATAGAAATAAGTTCCTAACAGATGAAGATACTGGAGATTTAAACAAGAGTGTTTTGGACAGGACACTGGGATCTTCTGATGGTATTTTGTGTGGTGCGAAAACTTTATGGATTTGTTACTGTCTAGTTAGAAAAAGGGTGTGCCAAAACCCACAATTGGCAGAATGGTGGTGCTGCCTAGATAAAATTACTGATCAGTTATTATTCCCATAATCTTAACTTGTTATTCAAACAAAATATTATCACATATGTGAAATTAAAAGAGATAAAGGGTTTACTTAACTAAGGAAAGAAAAGTAGAGAAATTTGTAGATGAAAGTGAAACGAAATCTCTCAGAATAGTATTTCAAAGAATAAATGGAAAAAAAAAAAGTATTAAGTGAAGTCGTAATTAAACCTCTGCCTCCCGATGCCGATGTTTATGATGAGTTGGCCTCTGCTGTTAGACCTGAGGAGGCTGATATTAAATTAATCCATTCTTATCTTAAAAGAAATGGGGTTTTTTTAATTATAGTTTCTGATCGTAGTGAAGAGTTTAAGTTGGCAAAGCACATCAATGAAAATGAAAGGCTGAGGAAATTGTGTACAGGCAAGAAGCAAAAGATTTATTGCACAAAAATTATCATTTATAATGTATTGGAGTTTGTTCATATTGAAGATTTAATTGAAAATTTAAAAGCCAACTGTGTATGTTCAGGTGTACATTTTCTTTTTTCAAATAATAGAGATGGGCAGAATGGAACAATTAACAAAATATTCAGAGTTAATTCTGTTTGTCAAGCCAAGATATTGAACTCAGAGCGACCTTTGTGTTGGCTGGAAGTTATATCCGCTATGATTCCTTGTACAACCAAAACACTGCATGAAGTGTTTGGCTTATGGCCAGTGTAGGAATAATTTCTCAAGCATAGTATGCGCTCTTTTTCATGAATGTGGAAAATGTACTGTGAAAATATCATGCTGCCCAAATCAATGCATGCCATGCATGTAGTATATCAAATAAAAAGTTTGCTACAAAATATGACAACACACGTGAGGCATTTTCAAGAGAATGTTTGTATATAAGAATGAAATAATGTGTATTATTGACCATTTAGATATTTTAGTTTTGGTTGTGGTAAGGAGATTTCACGGCAGCTAGGCCTTTTAATTGTTTTTAAATTTCATAGTTTTATCTTCTGGAATTTTATTTATGACTATTTTATTGAAGATTTTATCTAGAATTTTATCAAGTTTTATCTACTCAGTGCTTTTGGTTTTTATTGATTACACCATTAGTCTCTGTGAAATAATGATCTTTCTTAATATAAATCTCAATCATTGTTCAGCAGCAGCATGCCAGCTCTCTGGTATAAAAAGGGTTATAGGTTTGACCTCTGACGTTATATTTATTCAAGAGCCATATTATGCTAGTGGTAAATTGGCTTGGGTCTCTACAAAATGGAGAATGGTACACACAGAAGAAGTTAGAGCAGCAATCGCAGTCATAATAAAAAAAAAAAAAATATTGATTTCACAGTAGACTGTAAATTAAATGTCATGGTGGCGATAACTAGAGAAACATGGCCACGATTATTATGGTATAATTTCTGTATATTTCTCTCTTGTTTTATCCAAGGATTTTATATTATCAAATGCTATGATTTTATTCAATACTTTAATCTCACTGCTAACATTTTTATCATTAGTGAGGGTTTTACTGATTTAATAATTGGATCTCCAGATGTGAATGTTGAAGATCTTAGAACCTTAAGATCCTTAACCTTAGAAGTTGAAAGCCTAAGTGATCATAGATATTTGTTATTGGCGAACAAGAAGATGAATGGTAATGAGGGAGTCAGAATAAGGTTTTCCTTCAATGTTAGAAGATTGAAGATATTTTGTCTAGAAACAAATATGAGTCTGGTTGATAATGAGGATGGATTAAATAAAATTGTCGATGATTTGGAGGATACGATTATTAGAGAAGCAAATGGATGCCTTTAATAAAGGGTGATAAAAATAAATCGATTGTTTGGTGGAGCGAGGACCTAGAGAGAGCTAAGAGAAGAATTAGAGCACTTAGATTTTTGAAGTGGCAATTTTATGAGACAATGTTAAATTGATTAGAAGAATAGCCTATAAAAGAGAATTAGCCAAATATAAAAAGCTTATTCAGCAAACCAGAAGAGAAATTAAAGTGAAATTTTTCCCAAATACTGCCAAGTACTATGATAGATTTTTTAAGATTGCTACACAGAAATTGAAAACCAAGTCTCAAAGAGAGAATAGTGATAATCAAGACAATTTTGAAGAAATTTCGACAAAAATAATTATGGA